CATATCAAATGATTTTGAAAGCCATGACTTGACACTTTTAACATGCTCCAAATTATATTCAGCTAATAAAATATCATCTACTTAAAGAGAAAGAATTACAAAATTTCCATTGGACTTTTTCACATAAATGCAATGGTCTTCATCGATCATGGTGAAATCAAATGACATCACCTCCTTATGAAATATCAGATACCACTGCCTTGAAGACTTATTTAGGCCATAAATTGATGTTTTTTTCTTTACCAACTTTGTAGTGAACATCTTTGATTGTTCTTTACTATGAATATTTGAGTTTTATCCTCTTTTGTTTTGGATAAGTGGATTATTATTCTAATGCACAATGTCATATGCTGTTTCATTATTAGACATATAAATTTGTGTGATTATAGTTTCAAATTTTGGTTAAATATTTAATTCGTAGATGATGATTGGTTGCTTACGTGTCCTTTCAATTTTACATTTAAATATGAAACTTTTATGAGAATTCATTTGCTTGAATATGTATGTCACATGCATAATTGATTAAAAAATCTTGCCTGATTATATCTTATAACAAACATGGCATCAAAAGTATCATTGCTGACATAAACAAAGGTGAAAAATTTAACAGTGACAATTACGACATCTGGAGTCATAAATTATGGTATGTACTGGAAGAGCAACATGCTCTGGAAGGTATAAACCATATTTTGAAAGTTGGCTGTTCTTTTTTGAGATGTAAGTTTTGGGTCGTGGGTCCCCCTTGTGGACAGACCCGACCCAATTTGTTTTTCCCTATCAAATAAATAAATAAATTATATGGATAATTCCTTTTAGAAGGATAAGGCAGAGCAGTTACACTATAGCTATTCAATCTCCCCTTAAAAGACTCCTAGTGGGAGTAACTTTTAAGGAACGTGGAACGTGAAAATGATGAGGAAAAAATGTGAGAAACAAAGAAGAAAAACTAGGGATTCGTAAAGAAATAGAGAAGTAAGTTTCTTATAGAAATCAATCAACACTCTAAGGAGACTCTAAGTTTGTGAACAAAGACCGATCTTTGTTGCCTTGAGATTCAAAGAGTGATCTGGAGCAATTTCTTTCGATAACAAAATCAACAATAAATATTTTCGCTGCAAGTTACAAGGTACACATCTTATTGTTGTTTTGCCTTCAAAATTCCTTCATTGGTATCAGAGCCATCGTTAATTGATCTCATTACACGCTGCTTCCTTTGTGTATTCACTGTGTATGTTGAAACAAAAAATTGTGATTTTTTTTTGAAAAACTTCTTCTGTTTGTAGCAATCTGAAAATTGTTTGTACAATAATTTTTGTCAAAACTCATGTTTTCATGATTTACTTGTTTGTAGCTTCGGAAAATATATTATAATGAAAAATGAATTTAAAACGAGTGAGATATGAATTTTTGAAAGTTGGTTGTTTATTTGACTGTTTTCTGGAAAAACTTCTTCAGTTTGTAGGGGAAAAAAATGTGTTTTAATTTTTTTTTAGGGATGAGATTTGTGTCCTGTTTAAGATTATTTTTTTGGAAAAAGAATATGTGTCATTTTTAGGATATTATTGGTCTTGTTTATTCGTTTTGTCCTGTAGTTCCTTAAGTAGTTGCTTGCTTTTTATGCAAAATTTGTGACATATGTTGTCGCATTAAAAGGTATTAACCATATTTCCATTTTGTTCCCATTTCAGATATGGCTGAACGGAAACATGCTCAAATTACTCCAAGTGGGAGTTCTCAAAGTCGAGCAAATGGACGAGGTAGAAGAGAAATCCGCCGTAAGACATATTTCCGAGAGCGTGAACTCATATGGATTGGTGTCCCAAAGGCGACACAAATCCTATTAAAGAATGAAAGGACGATTCGAAGGAAAAGAGAAAAAGACCTAAGAGAGTTTATGTCTTTGAAGATGGATCCTCTTGACTCTTTCATAGACTTCCTCAGAACCTTTGTCATGAAATTTGAAGAGGTTAATGAAAGTGACATTCGAGTTACAGAGAGGGAAAGATACAAGGTTTTGTATCATTCCTTGCTAGAATACTCGAAGAATGAAATGAATGAAACTAATATTGAAATTGGGGATAATGAATAATTATGGGTATATACGGTAAAATAGGAGTTTAGTGGGTAAAACTTCACAACATAATCTTTTTTTAGTATTGACTTTTGTTGTTTTTTCTTTACAAACTTTGTAGGGAATATCTTTGATTGTGCTTTAATATGAATATTTGAGTGTTATCCTCTTTTATTTTGGATAAGTGGATTATTATTCTATTGCACAATGTCATATGTTGTTTGATTATTACACATGCAAATCTGTGTGATAATAGTCTAAAATAAATTAGTGTACACATTAAGAAGTTAGTTTCAAATTTTGGTTCAATATTTAATTCGTAGATGATGATTGGATGCCTATGTGTCTTTTCAATTTTACATTTAAATACGAACCTTTATGAGAATTGAGTTGCTAGAATGTGTAAGTCTCATGCATAATTAATTAAAAAATATTGCCTGATTATATCTCATAACATACATGGCATCAGAAAGTATCTTTATTGAGTTAAACAAAGGTGAAAAACTTAACGGTGAGAATTACGACAGTAAAATATGGTATGTACTGGAAGAGAAAAATGCTCTAGAAGGTATAGACCTTGTTTTGAATCAACTAGAAGAGGGTAATACTACATGATGTGCCGCAAAATCTTGGCACATCTAATGCATGAAAACTCATTATTAAGACTAGAATCGAATGTATTTATGTGGATATAATGTGTTTGGTAGTGTTTGTATAGGTGAAAGTAAAAGAAGATAGAAATGAAGAAGAAATCAGTGAAGGTAGAGTAAAAACCACGGACAACCTCACGGGCCGTGGTCTTCACTACGGATCGTGGAGACACTCGTGAAAGTGAACCAGTGGAAGGGCAAGGAAAAGTTGAAAAAATGTTGGAACCAAGTGACGACCATAGATGACTTCATGGGCCTTGGTCTGCACAGCGATTCGTGGTGTTGATCGTGAAGAATTTCCAGTGTTAAGTGGTGAGAAGTTGAAATGCAGTTTTGACCAAGTGAAGACCACGGAAGGTCTCACGAATCGTGACCCTCATTACGGTCCTTCATGGTGATCGTGAAAAAGTTCCAGTGTCAAGTGTTGAAGACCCACTTTTGGGGAGTTCCAAGGGAAGACTATGGAGGGCTTCACGGACCGTGAAGCCCTTGACGGGTCGTGGAAGTGGTCGTGGAAGTGGCCTTGAAAGTGCAAGAAAATTCAGTCCTACTTCGAATAGGACTCTTTTTAAAACACTTATTTGAATAAATTAGGGCGTTTTTATGTTTTATCTTATTATTCATTGAACGACGATCGAGTTTCCAGATTTCATAGCTTTTGGATTTTCAATTTTGGATATTGAATTAAGTTTGAAGTTCGGTTTTTCTGATTCTTGAAATATCAAAGTGATTGTTGGTTTTCTTATTCTCGTAAGTACTTTCTAACATGTTTTCATCTTATATTTATGATTGTTTACATGAAATCATGAGTGGCTAAATACCACGATTGGGGTTGTGGGATCCATGACGTAATTCTAACTGTGATTTCGTAAAATGAGTGAAAGGCAATTTGTGCTTACAAACTGTAGTTTAGCTTTCGTATTAATGTATTCTGATGAGTGAACGCATTAGAATGAGCTTGTATCTGTCATTTGTTCGAGAGAAAAATGACAGTTAGGAAAAAGCTGAACTAATATAACGAATTGGAGTTAAAGTTTGAGTTTGAGAGAAAAGAACTTTAACATCAAACCATTGTAAGTGAGGGTAAATGTTATTAACACTCTAGGGCCGAGAGGATGTGCATGAGAGTTGTCTAATTAACTCGCATATATTTTGTAAAGATTAATTGCCTGAAAATCAATTACGGAAGAACACTAGAACTAGCATTATGGGGAACACAATCCTAGTTTCAGTTAATTATTGAAACAACTTAAAAACTAATATTTTGTTCATTGTTGAATTAGACTTTAGTTTGCAACTTCGGTTACCAAACTGTTAACGCTAAACCCATTTTACTTTCAAAAATTATTTATTTAGGAAATAATAATGACATTTGAGTAAAATGTGACAATGAATTCATTTATGTAAAGAAATTCTCTATGGGATCGACCTCAACTCACATTGAGTTCTATAAATTGACTTCAACCGTTTATATCTCTTAATTGAGGTGTAAATTTGGATGTATCAAATTTTGACACAGCTGTCGAGGAATTTTAATTCATAAGTGTTTTTACTAGGTTTTATTCTAAGGGTAGTTAGATTTCCTAATTTTATGTCTTGTTCGTTGTCTGTGTCTATTTCAGGTAAATTGGACTGTGTATAACAAATATCAGAAGTAAGGGAGCCACATTAGTCCCATACGAACTAGAACTAAGGAAAACAATCCGTAAGATGGTTAAAACACAAGAAGTAGAGGCACAGAGACTTAGATTTGAATTGGAAGCTGAAACCGTTGCAAGAGGTATTCAGCCAAATGATGTGAATAATCAACCTAAAGCAGTGGACGAAAACATAGCAGTGGATGGAGTCATTCCTCCCCACTGACAACCAATAGCTCCAAGGGGTAGAACGGATCATCCAACTCACATGATGTATGAGGAGGATGACTTAGATTTAGATGGAGCTGCAGCCACTGGAGCGATAGTGTTACCTGCACTACCTCCAGGTGTTAAATTCACAATCACCAGCACTATGATTCAACTGCTGAATTTGAAAGGTATGTTCAGGGGTGCAACAGGTGATGATGCTAACCAACATTTGATGAACTTTGTGGTGATTTGCAAATCGCAAGAGATTCCTGGAGTAAGCCAAACAACGATGAGGTTGAGGCTATTTCCTTTGTCCCTTACTGGAGAGGCAACGAACAAGTTGAATGAGATGCAGTTGATTCAATCAGGACTTTGACTGAGTTGAATGAGGCTTTCCTGGAGTGATTCTTTTCGGAATCAAAAGAGTTGCATATGAAAGATGCGATCAGTTCCCATAAGGAGCTACCAGTAGAAGCGATGCATGACACTTGGCAGAGATTCATCAAAAAGCTGAAGAAATGCCCAAACCATGGTCTCACTGAGAGACATCTAAAACAGGAATTTTACAGGTCCTTAAATTTGTTACTAAACCTGTTGTTGATACAGTGTGTGGAGGATCGTTTATAAGAAAGCCATTCTCAGAGAGCATGCAACTAATGGACGAAGTGTCAAAGAATAACGGCATGGTACACCAGGGATGCAGAAGTATGAGATCTGGGGTACATATTTGAGTTGTCTGCTGAATAAAGGAAGAGAGAAGAGGAAATGGATCGGGATATGGCACACCTAAGGACCCAAATAGATGTAATCACGAAGCATATTGTCGCCAAGTATGAAAAGGTAAATGTTGTGAGTCAACCAAACTTGTATGAAGATTAGGACATCGATCTAGATGAGGAGGCCAATTATATGGGCAACCAAGAAGGTTTTTGGAATTATAACTCGGGCAACCAGGATTACATTTGTGGAAATGCAGGACGGAACTAATCTAGAGAAGGCCAATATGATAGGCCAGCTAATAGAGAGCATGTAAACTGGTAGAATAGAGATGGGTACAAGAATGATCGCAGTGGTGTGAATGTGCCCCCAGGTAATAGAGACCGGGCAAGTGGTAGTTCCAGCGAGTCTAAGCTGGAAGACATGTTGGCCAAGGTGCAACAAAAGGTGGAATCAACTGATGCAGAGGTGAACGAGATGAAAAGTGATTTCTCCAGCAAGAGTCAATTGGTAGACGCTCACACCACCTCCATCAAGCAGATTGAGCAGAAGTTGGGGCAACTTTCAGCCTCATTAAATCAGAGGAAGAATGGGTCACTACAAAGTGACACGATCCAAAATCCCAAAAAGGATGGGCATTGCATGGTTATTTCCACCAGGAGTGGTAAGATCCTTACTGACCCTATTTCTGTAGATACTGAACATGAGCAGGTGTTGAAGCAAGCTGGAAGAGAGGAGGATGAAGCTGAGCAAGTAGATGACTTGGAGGACGCTCAACTAATAGCTAAACCAGCAGGAGCTAAAGGAAAAGATGCTAAGGAAACCTTTCCGTTACAACAAATCCCAAGACCACCTCTTCCTTTCCCTCAAAGGTTTAAAAAGAAAGCCGAAGATGGGAAATTTGCAAAGTTCATTACCATACTGAGGCAGCTGTCACTCTACATCCCATTGGTGGAAGCTCTTGAGAAGATGCCAGGATATGCCGAGTTCATGAAAGACTTGGTTCCTATGAAAAGAAAAGTGAGTATTGATTTGACTAACCATATTCATCATTGCAGTGCTATTGCTATCAGGTCTTTAGTGAAAAAGAAGGAAGATCCAGGTGCATTAACAATACCATGCACTATCGGATCGATCAAATTTGCAAAGGCCTTGTATGATCTACGGGCCAGCATAAACTTGATGCCGCTGGCCATCTACAAGCAACTGGGTTTAGGAGTTCCAAAACCCACAACTATGAGGTTGATGATGGCAGATAGGTCAGTGAAGTGACATGTGGGCATACTATGTGATGTGCTTGTAAAGGTGGACACATTCATCTTTCCTCCAGACTTCGTGATCTTGGATTGCGAAGTGGATTATGAGGTTCCCATTATTTTGGGAAGACCATTTCTGGCCATTGGACGAGCATTGGTAGATGTTGAGCAAGGAGAACTGAAGTTCAGAATCAACAACGAAGAGCTAAAGTTTAATATTTGCAGGTCCATGAAGTAGCCACATGATATGAATGTGGTGTTTGCAATAACAATCTTTGATGAAGAAGAAATGGGAGCATCAATAGACGAGAGGATGGCTGTTGAAACCTTAGCAGCAGTACTGATGAACTTTGAAGATGACTTCAGGTCTGATTATGTGGAGACTGTAAATGCGTTGCAGGGTATGGGAGCACACTCTTACGCTCCAAAAAAGTTGGACCTGGATCTGAAAAACCGACCTAGTCCACCAGCAAACCCATCCATTGAGGAGCCACCTGTGTTGGAACTGAAACAGTTGCCCAGTCACCTGAGGTATGTATTTTTGGGAACTAACAACACTTTACCTGTGATTTTGGCTGCAGATTTGAATGATGAACAGGTCGAAGCTTTGATCAAGGTGTTGATTAGGTACAAGAGGGCCATTGGGTGGACTATTGGGATACCTCCGGGTATATGCACCCATAAAATTCAAGTTGAGGAGGACTGCAACCCTTCATTGAACATTAGCGGAGGCTAAATCCACCTATGCAAGAGGTGGTCAAAAAGGAGATCATCAAGTGGTTGGATGCTGGGGTGGTATACCCTATTTCGGATAGTCACTAGGTCAGTCCGGTGCAATGTGTGCCCAAAAAAGGCGGTATGACTGTGGTTGCAAATGCCAAGAATGAGTTGGTCCCGCAGAGGCCAATCACTAGATGGCGAGTGTGCATGGATTATAGGAAGTTGAACAAGTGGACCTTGGAGGATTATTTCCCAATGCCTTTCATGGACTAGATGCTTGATAGATTGGCTGGCAAAGGGTGGTACTTCTTTTAAGATGGATACTCTGGCTACAACCAGTTATCAATTACTCCTGAAGATCAGAAAAAGTCCACCTTTACATGTCCTTATGGCACCTTTGCATTTAAACGCATGTCATTTGGACTATGTAATGCACCAGCAACATTCCAAAGGTGTATGATGTCTATCTTTTCAGACATGGTTGAAGACACTCTGGAGGTATTTATGGATGACTTTTCAGTGGTAGATGATATCTTTGATGATTGTTCCTGAATCATAGTAGGGCCCTACAGAGGTGTGAGGAAGCCAACCTAGTGCTGAACTGGGAGAAGTGACATTTTATAGTTAAAGAAAGCATAGTCCTTGGGCACAAGGTGTCGCAAAAGGGGATAGAGGTTGACAGGGCCAAAATTGAGGTGATTGAAAAGTTGCCTCCATCTATTTATGTGAAGGGTGTTCAGATCTTCTTAGGACATGCCGGATTTTATAGGCGTTTCATCAAAGACTTCTACAAAATTGCACACCCCATGTGCAAGCTTTTGGAAATGGAGGTGAAATTAATTTTTGATGAGGCATGCAATAGAGCCTTTGAATGCCTGAAGAAAAAGTTGATTTCTGCCCCCGTGATCGTTGGCCCAGATTTGGCAGAGCCATTTGAGGTGATGTGTGATGCAAGAGGTACCGCTTTAGGAGTAGTGTTGGGCCAGAAGCGCAACAAGATGTTTCATCCAATTTACTATGCTAGTAAGTCACTGAATGGAGCACAGCGAAACTACACAGTTTCTGAATAGGAACTGCTGGTTGTAGTGTATGCTTTTGAGAAGTTCAGAGATTATTTGATGGGCACTAGAGTGATATTCCATACATATCATGAAGCTCTGAGATACTTCATGGAAAAAAAGGATGACAAACCAAGATTGATCTGATGGGTGTTACTTCTTCAGGAATTTACTTTGAGGTTAAGGATCGGAAAGATTGTGAAAACCAAGTAGCTGATCACCTGTCGAGGTTGGAGGCTTAAAAGAAAGAGGAACTCGAGCTCGACATAAATGATTCGTTCCCAGATGAGCTGGTATTAGCCGTTACTCTTGATCTTATTCCTTGGTTTACTGGTTTTGCTAATTATCTTGTTAGTGGTTTGATGCATGAGGGGATGAATTATCAACAAAGGAAGAGGTTCTTGCATGATGTGGGTAAGTATTTTTGGGATGAACCTTATCTGTAAAGGGTGTGTGCTGACAACATCATCAGGCGATGTGTTCCTGAAGCTGGAATGTTGCATATTCTAATAGCTTGTCACTCCTCACCGGTAGGTGGTCACTATAGAGGTGCCTGGACAACACACACGATACTTTAGTGTGGGTACTACTGGCCCAAAATTCATCAGTATGTGATGGACATAGTGAGTAGTTGTGATGTATGCCAGTGACAAAGAGTCATATCTCGGCGCCATGAGTTACCCATGACACCTATTCTAGAGGTGGAGTTCTTTGATCTGTGGGGAATCAACTTCATGGGCTCATTTGTGAGCTCCTATGGGCAGAAATACATATTGGTTGCAGTGGACTATGTGTCCAAATGGGTTGAGACAGTTGCTTTGCCTGAGAATGATGGTAAGAGTGTTGCTGGTTTTCTGATGAAGAATATTTTCTCAAGGTTTGGCACACCCAAAGATATCATCAGTGATGGTGGTTCTCATTTCTGCAATAAGGTGTTTTGTTCTCTTCTGGCTAAATATGGAGTTAAACAACACAAGGTAGCAACACCTTATCACCCACAGACCAGTGGCCAAGTAGAGGTCTCCAACAGAGAAATTAAAGCAATTCTGACTAAAACGGTGAATGCCAACATGACAGATTGGGAATGGAAGTTAGATGATGCTCTATGGGCATATCGGACAGCTTTCAAGACACCTATTGGTATATGTCCATATCAATTGGTGTTTGGAAAGGCATGTCATTTGCCGGTTGATCATGAGCATAAAATATTCTGGGCTTTGAAGAAGCTAAACCTTAGTTGGAGTGAAACTGCAAACCTGAGGTTGGATCAGATCAATGAGATGGATGAGTTCCTTCTGAGAGCCTATGAGAGAGTTGCACTATATAAGGAGAGGATCAAGCTATATCATGACAAGCATATTGAGAAAATAAGCTACACTCCTAGTGACTTTGTGTTACTTTTCAACTCCAGACTTCATCTGTTTCCCTGAAAGTTGATATCCAAATGGTCTAGACCTTTTAAGGTAACACAGTGTAACGACTCGGGAAATGATTGGGTGAACTAGAGACTAATCGTGAGGGTCAACGTCATGATACATATTAGACTCCATAGTTGAAGGACCTTTTGAAGTTGGTTGACGGTTGCAAGGGAATGTGCCAAGCCAAGGGGGCAAGGCCTAAGCCAAAGGCCAAGGCTGCCCAACCTTGGCCGAGCACATCCTCATGACCACGGCCACTTTCATGGCCAGTGATCTTGACCACAGACCGTGAAGTGGTCTGTGAAGGTCACTTGGACACTTGGGAGGCAAGACCTTGAGGCCAAGCTACTACCCTAAGTCCACGACCACTTTCACGGCCAGTGGTCTTCACCATGGATCGTGAAGTGGTCCGTGAAGATGCCTTAGCATATTGGGGCTTGGCAAGGCAAAAAGGAGTTTCTGCCTAGGGACCACCGGCGCCACCACGGTCCGTGGTCCCCCTTCACGAGCCGTGAAGTTGGGTGTGGTCCCTAACGGGGGTGCCCAAATTTATGGGTTTTAAGTAATATCCCTTTTATTAATTATTAAGTAGGGTTGATTTTTAAATGGTTTATATCATTAGTATATATAGTTTTAAGTCTTTTAACAAGTCATTTACTCATTATTTCACCAAATCAAAACAAGAGTTCTTCCTTCCAAAAATTTTCTCTCTAGAAGTTCCGAAGAAGAAGAAGAAGAAGTGGGAGCTAGGGTTTGGATACAAGCTGTTGTCTTCATCACATTTCTTGGGGAATATTAGTAAATGTATGGTGATCCTTCATCTAGGGTTAACTTTCACCCTATAGTCAATTTCAAAGAGTTTTGAAAGTTTTCAATGTTCATGAAAAACCTAGGGTTTTACTCAATCTCATGGGTTCTTTCTCCAAATAATTTCAAATGGGTTATAATCGAATATATTGATGTTTTATTGATTATTTATGATGAAAATACTCTATGAAACCATGATTTCTCTCAATTCCTAAATTCTGTCATTATGAAGAGCGTTTGTTGATTATGAAAGCTTATGAATGGAATTGTCTAAATTGCTTTGGGTTATTGAATTGTATCATTATTTATGCCTAATTATGGTGAATTGTTAGTGAAGTGAGGATTTGTGGACATGGCCTTGATAGGGCAAGTTATGGCTAATTTCATGTTAAAGTTGAATTGTGCTTGAATTCTTCATCCACTTGAAAGGTGGAGGTGTTTACTTACTATGTAAATTGTTGTCATGGACTTGAAGGCATAGTGTGAGGAATTGAAGTATTATCACGATATTATATATATGAATGTGAGGGTAAACCTGTCGAAGGAATGCTCTCAATAATTCTCCACAAGGTAAATGAGCATGATAGATTAATGGAAGAGATGAAGGAAAACGTAAAAGTGATGAAACAGATGATTGGATCTCATTCCAGATCCATCCAGCTACTTGAGAACCTTATGGGTCATGTGATGCCTCATCTCCACCCGCCGCAAAACAGGGGGTTGCCAAGTGATGCTATGGCTAACCCCAAGAATGGAGTATGAGGGTTGACTTCCGTCGTCCCACGACATTAACTAAGGCGCTTCTTGGGAGGCAACCCAAGTTTTTATCGCTTTAAATTGTTATTTTAGGAGAATGGTGTGTTAATTGTGCAGGTTAAAGTGTGCGAAGTGTTTGAAAAGTACAATTTGGTGAGCTAAAGTCCAGTCGGTGAAATGCTGAAGAGGTCGGCGACCCCGACCTAGAACGCAATTAGACACAAGACAAATTTAAGGTCGAGTTTGTAAAACTAGGC